GCCACCATGGTTTATGTGTCAGGTATACAAGCCACCATGGTTTATGTGTCACGTATACAAGCCACCATGGTTTATGTGTCAGTATACAAGCCACCATGGTTTATGTGTCAGGTATACAAGCCACCATGGTTTATGTGTCAGGTATACAAGCCACAAAACGTCTAACCTGATGTAGTTTTTGATAGAATTCATATCAACCCAGAGGCTTTGTTTTTCTCACCAAGTCCGTATGGTAAAGAATAAAAAAGTCGACCTAAGCCTATGTGATACGTTTTGTAAAATCGGTTGGTATTAGTTATGAAATTATAAGTGAAAACTAAAGTTTGTTTTAGAATGAACCCACCCACACTGGGCTATCTCCTGTGTCTATTCTGGGGAATCGAAACACGGATTTAAGGATTGTGTACCACCGGGGAACATAATTAAAGAAACATTCATGCATTTCGAAGTAGCTGCCGAAAAAGATAAACAATATTACGACTGAAAGTCAGGTTAGGCTTAAGTATTTACAACTTGTAAACACAACTCAGAAGTTGCGGTATCGATATGAACTGAGGTAAAATATGGTAAATGTCAAGTTTATGATAGTAGAATGAGAAGATGTGAAAATTCGGCGGTGAAGTATCTGTAAATGTATTTAAGGGATTTGCTCTATACTTAAAAAATACATTTTGATAAAATAAAAGGTACCTATGATACCCGCGAAAGAAAAGCATAAGAGATTCCAATTAATATTTACAATTGTGTAAGTGTGGGGACTAATTGACAGTAAGTGTGGGGACTAATTGATAGTAAGTGTGGGGACTAATTGACAGTAAGTATGGGGACTAATTGACAAAGCCCTCAGGAATAAAATAATGTATGAACAAATAATACGTTTCGAGAACTGCAATACGAGCAAGTATTACATTTGTAATGCTATCAATGGTTGCATCTGTTGTAACTGTGAGAAGCTGCACAAGGAACAATTATCACTTTTGTGACAAGTTTCAGTGACACCGATACGACAATCATAGATTAGTGTTAGGAACTGAGTAATATTATGTCTATGATAAGTGTCAGGAACTGAGTAATATTATGTCTATGATAAGTGTCAGGAACTAAGTAATATTATGTCTATGATAAGTGTCAGGAACTGTGTAATATTATGTCTATGATAAGTGTCAGGAACTGGGTAATATTATGTCTATGATTAGTGTCAGGAACTGGGTAATATTATGTCTATGATAAGTGTCAGGAACTGAGTAATATTATGTCTATGATAAGTGTCAGGAACTGGGTAATATTATGTCTATGATAAGTGTCAGGAACTGGGTAATATTATGTCTATGATAAGTGTCAGGAACTGAGTAATATTATGTTTATGATAAGTATCAGGAACAGAGTAATATTATGTCTATGATAAGTGTCAGGAACTGGGTAA